GCCAGGATGGTCTCGATCTCCTGACCTCGTGATCCGCCCGTCTCGGCCTCCCAAAGTGCTGGGATTACAGGCTTGAGCCACCGCGCCCGGCCTGAAGAAGTTTTTGACACTGCTAGATGCTACCACCGCTCAATGCCAGTTAGTTCTGAGACTGTTAAGATACTGGTGGCATTGCGTTTCTGCAATGTGAGCGCTCCAAATCTGACTGTGCAGAATAATTCCTAAGCTATATTTACAGACTGCTATTATGTTCTTGCTATAAACGCAGCAGCGTCTTGAGGTATTACCACCACAAGGGGCAGTCCTACCAGCAGGACAGTGACAGGCGGGTTGTCCTGTCAGACGTCTGTGTGGTTAGAAAGCCATAACCTCTGCAGGTAGGAAGCAAAGGGGGACATTGCTGACATTTACATAGACAATCTCCCCCATCTCTCACCTGTGCTTGGCTGACCCAGTTCCAGCGCCTGGCTGAGCTGAGACTGGATGTGTCTCCGAGGGTGAGACCCAGGCCTGGAGGAGTGGCTTCCTCTTGCCAAAATTTTCAACTCTACCAGCGGAGCCCTCTGCTGTGGCTTTTTTTTGAGATTCTGCTGTGCTGGTGTGGTGAGTGTCAGAATGTGCAGAACTGGGGAAAGACTGTGTGGCAGGAAAGAGCTCAGAAGGGGAGGGGCTGGGTACAGGATTGTCTAGGGACGTGCCAGGAGGCGGGCTTGGACTCCCATTTCCCATCGGTTTTTCTTCCTCACCACCACTGGGGCCTGGCAGCTGTTCATCAGAGCTTGAGCTCTTGCCAAGATGTGGTTTGTGAATTCCGAACTCTGTGGTCTGCTCTGAAGGAGCTGTCACAGATGCTTTGGGTGCTTGCAGGCTGAAATCACGCAGGCCCTCCCCCAGTGCCAACCTATCTGCCTTGCCACTGGGCCCCTTTCCCCTCTCAGGACAGGGGACTACCAAGCTCAAGGACGAAGCTCCTATGTCCAGAGTTGACGACTTTGCTGTCTCTCCATCATCTTCAACCTGATCTCTGTCATCTTCAACCTGATCTATTCTTTCATCATCCGATGCGACTTCAGGAATGGAAGGAAGGCTTAAGTTCAGATCGGCCGTGACTGGAGATTTAAAATCTGAGGCCAACTGAAGGTCACTCAAGGGGTCAGACAGTAAACCTTCATGGTCACTGGCTTTGCTCTGATACTGAGTCACAAGGGCATCCTCTCCCTCCATCCTAAAGAGTGGAGTGTCTTTCGCTGAGCTTGCTTCACTCGTGGGGCCTTCGGAGAAACTCTCCTCCTGGGAGGGGAGGAGGAGGTGACCCGCCGGGGAGGCTGGCGCACCGCACGTCGCTGGCCCAGGTGTGGTCACCGATTCCCTCTCTGAGTCCTCTGTGTGGGGAGACCCAGGAGGCTCTCCATCAGAGGCGTTTCCAGCAACAGCCCATGCAGGGGTCAGCTCCTGGGGACAACTGCTGTGTCCTTCCACCAGCGGGACGGCCCTCTCTACCACCTCTTCTGTGAAGAGCTGCTCAGAAAATGACACGCGCTTCTTGGTTTTCTTCTGGCCCTCACGGAGGTTCAGACCCATCTCTTCCAGCTTCTGCATCGTGGAATCAATGGAAGGGACCGATTCTCCCATGGGAAGAGGGGGTGCTGCTTCTTCAACTGCATCCCTAGCTTTGCTCCCCACAAGAGACCCAGCCTGACTCTCCAAGTCTCTGTCTCCTCCTGCCACAAGCTCCCCAACGGGGCTCGCAGCTCCATCACTGCTGAGTGAAAGGGCAGACCGTACTTCCTGGGCCTCTCCAGATGATGGGCTGTAGTCTTGTTTTTTGTGGGGGAATCTCAGAAGTTCTTCCTCTTGTCGCCCTGTTTCAGGCTGCTCCGGGAGAGACTCCTCCAACTCAAGGCTGCTGGTGTTCTTCTCTGTGCCTGTCTCACGGGTCCTGCCCGTCAGAGAATTTTCTGTCCCTTTATTCGCTGGAATGGATGGCTGTTTGAAAAGTGATCCCAGGGCAGAAGAACCAGAATTTGGAACTGGTGTTAAACTCTCCGTTTGCAACTCTGCCTTAGGGAGCAAGGGTAGTTCTTCAGACTTGGCCTGGCCCCTATCTATGAGAGGACAGCTTTCAATTGGAGTGGATGTGGAAATGGGAGCTGCTATGGGAGATGAGAGAGAGGAGAAGACAGAAAGACTCTCA